CCCTCCCACTGCCCCAGTAACTCTTTTTAAAGAGTAGGTTTTCATTGCTATAAATGGTAGGTAACACTCTCGCTCTCGCTCTCTCTCTCTCTCTCTCTCACACACACACACACACACACACACGTTGTTCTTAGGTAACTATTGAGTCAGAATCCATTCAGGGCTGACCCTCTAGAGGGTTTTCAGAAGCAGTAGATCATAGAAGAGAAGATTGCTCATTTTTCTTCTACAGAGCTGGCTGGTGGACTCAAACCCACCATGCACCTTTGGGTTTGCAGCACAACTCCTTACTGCTAAGCCACCAGCGCTCAGTAATATATATTGTGTCCATCAAGTTGGAACTGACTCACAGTTGACCCTCCAGCAGGTTTTCAGAAACCATAAATCGCACAGGAGGAGATTGTCTGTTATTCACCTGTGGAACATCTGGTCCATTTGGGATTGCAACACAGCTTCTTACTAGTAGGCCACCATGTTGTTGTTATTGTTATGTGCTATCAAGTTAATTGCAACTCCTGTATGCAATAGATCTGAACCCTGCTCTATCCTGAACCAACCTTACTGTCCCTGATAGACCTATTCCCATTACTCCAGTCACTGAGTCAATCCATCTCACCAAAGGTCTTCCTCTCTTGCACTGTCCTTGCACCCTCAGCCCCCACGTCCCAAGCATGAAGTCCCTCTACAAGGACTGGTCCCTCCTTGCAACATACCCAGATTGTGTCAGATGGAGCTTCAAAATACTTGCCTCCAAAGATCAGTGTGGTTTCACCCTCTCCAGGACGAACATATTTGTTCTCCTGGCAGGCCATGATATATTCAGTACTCTTCTCCAGCACCGAAGCTCAAAGGCATCAGTTGGCCTTCTGTCATCCCTAGTCATTGTCCAGCTCTGATGCATAGCAAGTAATTGTGAAGGCCACCATAGCTTCTTAGATTCTTAGAAATCTCTTAGGCCATTATTAATATATTCCATGACAATTGTAAAAAGTCTCAAAGCCAGTTGGAAGAGTGGGCAAAGTGAATCTCCAATTTAAATAATTGAGACATGAGTAAATTTTAAAATTCTTTTTTTAAAAAAACACACTATTGTGATTTGAGTGAAAATTTACACAAAGAATTCCTTTTCCGTTAAGCAATTCATATTATATAGTTCATGACATTGATTGCAATTGTAACATCGTTTATCACACATCCTCCCAGAATTTCCAGTTCTATTCATCCTTTCTTATCCATTCAGCCTTCTGAACTTTACCCCTTGGGAAATACTTCCCTTTTGATTTTGTGTAGTCATTTGCTTTAAAGATTACATTCCTCCTTAATGTTACTGGTAGATAATTTTATAAGCCTATTTGACTGAGAGTTGAGAGATGAGGATAATTTCAGTTATTAGCTTAACCAGTGACAGTGATCTCTGGTTCTGTCACCCTCCTACTGGTAAGCTAATTCTTTTTATGACTTTGAGTTTTATTCCACTCCCCCCCCACTCTATCAACAATCTTCCATTGTGATTGATTCCTTCCAGAATTGTCCACAATGACAGTTTGACACCATCTCATTCTTGTAGTCTCAAAGTTGAAGAGACTGAAATTCATGTAGTTCATTATTCCTTTGAACTTTATTTTTTTTCACCCCAGATTATTGTCGTTGGGTACTTTTGAGATGACTATGATTCGTAGCGATTCTCAGAACAACAGATCTGAATGTTGCCCTATCCTTCACCATCCTCATAATCTCTCATATGCTCCAGTCCATTGTTAAAATGACTGTGTCAGTCTGTCTTGTCAAAGGGCTTCCTCTCTCAGACTCGGTTAATTGTTACGAGCTGTTGAATTACAATTCATAGTGACCCTATGAACAGCAGATCTGAACCCTGTCTTATTCTGAGTTATCCTTACCATCTCTGACACACTTAAGCCCATTGCTGCAGTCACTGTTGCTGCAGTCACTGTGTCAGTCCATCTTGTTGAGGGTCGACTTCTCCTTTACTGACCCTCCACCTTTCAAGGTAGACACAAGTGTTACACCTTAGATGGTCATTTACAAGCTTATAATACCCCAGCTACTGTTTACCCAAGTAGGATGAAGAACGTTGTCTTTGTAGCCTTTGCTATGCCAATTGACTTGATGTCTCCTGAGACTGTTCCCTGAACCTTCCAGGCTAAAAATTTGTTCTACTGTCTTACATTCAATTATAAACATCTTTTAGTTCATTTATCCTGTATATACTATTTGGGGACTGATAATTATTTGTTCTGTAGAGTTAATGAAAATAATTTTTATTTTTCATTTGTATTAATCATCAGTTAATTGTGATTCTCTATTTATTCTACAGCATATTTTGACTATAAAGATGAGTCTGGATTTCCAAAGCCCCCTTCTTACAATGTGGCTACAACTCTGCCCAGTTATGATGAAGCTGAGAGAACCAAGGCTGAAGCTACTATTCCATTAGTTCCTGGAAGAGTAAGTGCGACTTAGCATTTTATCTGATGGCTGATGTGTGGAAACTGAGTTACTGTCATTATCCAGTTTTGATTTATGGGTTAGAATTATATTGAGTAGTAAATGTACCAACTAATGTTCATAAGGCAGGTACAGGTTATTTGGGGTGAATAATATTTCCTAAAAATGATGAGGTAAATCACATTAAATATGGACGGTTGTTTTTTTCTCTCCTTTCTATCTCTACTACTGTTAGTACCTATCACATTTCAAGTGTCTCAGAATGGCTAGTGTCTTTAAGCAGGAGTTAATTTCAGCAGTAACCAGTTGTGCTTTGGTAACATGCTTAATGTTTTGATATTGTGTGGATGGCTGATGGAGACATAAGAATATTTTAATGTAATTTCATAGACAGTATAAACTCATATATGGTCCCGTAAAATCATCTACATGAACTCCTTACTAATGGCAGTCCAGTTGATGGCATCTGTGGAGACAAAGTGTATTCAAATCCTATCTGGCCTCATGTTGAACCATGGAAGAGAGTGTGGGCTGTGATGTAAGGCAACCAGAGATTCTAGACACTCTTGATTCTTGATGTCATATCCTAGAAGTGATGTTGATCTGGTTTCATAAACATTTATCCAGGCTGGAGATGATATAGGTAGGTCCTTAGACCAAATACTAGACACATTTTTGGATCTTCTAGACACTAGTCCTGTAGACCTCCTAGAAAATACGATAAATATCTTGAGGAAATAGAAATTTTTTGAGATTATATTTAATTAATGGTACCACTCTTGGCCATGGCAGTAGTGACTCAGGAGAGCTCAAGACCTTAAATT